TGAGATTCTGTTCTGCATTTTCCCCTTTTGATCAGGATTCTTTCACAGAATCTTTGATCAACATGTTCAGTAATGGAAGCTGGGCACCATCTAGTTCTTCTGGTCTCATGGAAAGGAGGCAGTTCATGGAGACAGTTAGCCCACATATTCCATTTCCTCTTCCTATCCTGGGAAACTGCATTTAACAGTCACCACTTCCACCCTCCCAACATACCAGGTGATTATAATACAAGTGACTTGATGACCACCCTTTGACAGATATCTCTCTAGAGAAGCTAATTGTGCTTTCTGGGCTGGTTTGTTGCCTGCTTGTGGCATTGCCATCTGGAGTTAATTTTCTGCTGGTCATCTTTTCATTGTTCCTTTGGAGCTCTGGTGGCGCAGTGCTTAGGCATTTGACTGCTAACCAGAAGGTTGGCGATTCAGACTCACCAGCTATTCTGCGGAAGGAAGACTGGGCAATCTACTTCCGTAAAGATTTACTGCTTTGGAAACCTAAGGGGAGTTGCTGTGAGTTGGAATCGACTAGATGTCAGTGAGTTTGGTTTTTGTTTTTTGGTTCTTGCCCAGTCGGCCATAGCTACTATCTCCTATTTTACAGACCCCAGTGCCATATGCGAAGCGTCAAGCTGTCTGCACAATCTTGGTCACTAATTCCACTTCCCTGGCAGCACCACCTCTTACAAGGATGCCATCCTTTGCTGGGTCCTTAGAAAGGAATATTGGAGAGTAAGCAACGACTCTTGTTAGCTACCATAGAGTCAGCCCCAACTCATAGTGGTGACCCTGTGCACAACAGGGTTGAACTGTGGTGACCATAGGGTTTTCATTGGCTGATAGATTGCCAGGCTTTTCTTCCTAGTCTTTCTTAATCTGGAAGCTCCTCTGAAACCTGTTCATTGTCACAGCAACACAGAAGGTTTCACTGACAGATGGGTGGTGGCTGCATGAGGTGCATTGGCTGGGAATAGAACCCAGATCCCCTACATGAAAGATGAGAATTCTACCACTCAGCTACTACTGACCTCAAGGCTAAATGTATAGACAGTATTGTCTTAGCCCTCCCTGAGATCCTCCTGAGCAGGCCTTGGCCCTGTCGAGTGAGAATCTCATTTGCTATTTAAATTCTTGAAATGGAACCCGTTTTATGGCAGCAGAAAAGTCAATATCATCCGAGGACTCATCCTTTCTTTTGTAGGGAATTTTGGGAAATAGAGGATTAGAATGGAGCTGCAAAGGATTATGTTTTCAGGACCTCTTACAAGATGAAGGCGTTGCTGGTGGCAGACAATGTGATGCCATTCTTTGAAGAAAAAGCTCTTGGCTTTGGGCAGCCTCTCCTCAGAGCCTGTTGATACAACTCTTGGCTTCTATCTGCTTCTGCATGAAGAAACATCCATGTAGTGACATGAATCAACGGGCCAAAGAGGAAGGGGAGAAGAGGCCTTCGGGCCCTGCAGCAGAGCTGGCTTGGGTCCCTGTGGGGCTGGTTGCATCATGGCTTACAGCAGGCTTGCTGGGGTTCTGTCCTGGCTTTGCCAAGCTGCTCCACGAAGGGCTGGGGGGCATTTAATTAATCAGGGGCTTTGGCTGCAGGATGGCCCCTGGGTGGGTTCACCATGGTGATGATCAGGCATGGCTTTTCTGAGTGAAAGAAGGCCATTGGTGACCCTGTGGGATTTTGGGCATGGTGGTCCATGTGAGGCTGTGCCTTGCCCTGAACTCAGTCCATCTCCCAGACAAGAGCAGGCGCTTCTCTACCGGCCTCCAGTCTGACTTGGCTGCTGGCTTCCGCTACCTGTGGCCTCCGGGTGTCTTGGTGAGAAAAGATCCCCACGCGCCTCTGACTCAGTGCCCTGCAGCCCCCAGGACGTGGCTGGCTGTGAGATCACACTTTGTGAATGGCAGGGAAGCTGCCAGCACTTGTTGCTGGGATTAGAAGGTGGTGTCTTGCTAGTGGATGCTGATGCAAAGGTTATGACTGCCTTTCTTCTCTCCTGCTCAGTCCGCAGCCCCGCAGCCCGGGCTGCACATTTGATCCTGTAAAACGTCTTCCACTGAGAGAGGACCCATGACACTAGGCTTCAGTAATCCTTAGGGAGCCTGAGTCTGTTATCTTAACTTCATCCACAGCCTTGGGATCAGTCTGCCTGGGCTCAAGTCCCACCTCTGTCTTTTACAGTGTGTGTGACTTTGGACAATATTTATCTTTCCTGTGCCCCAGCTTCCACATCTGTAAAATGGAATTGAAGTTAGGATTAAATGAGATGATGTACATTGGCACCTGGTTAAGGCATAATAAATGTTATTTTGTTATTATTGAGACTATCACCACTGGTTTAAAAATACTGATATGTCAGGGCCAAAGACAGCTCTAAGACCTCGCTACTCAAACTGTGGTCCCTGGACTAGCATTACTTAGGAGCTCGCTAGAAATTCAGAATGCCAGGCCCCACCTCAGACCTCTGGAGTCATAATCTGCATTTTAACAAATGTTCAGGTGACTCCTGTTTGAGAGGGACTATTCTAGAATATTCCTTGCAGGCTGACAGATGTCAGTTAGTGAGCATCAGTGGAGGTGGCTGTTGAGGGCAGAGGGAAGTGATTCTCTTGATTACAAAGAGGTAACCTGTTGCTACTGAGTCAATTCCAACTCACAGTGAACCTATAGGGCAGAGTAGAACTGCCCTACAGAGTTTCCAAGGCTGTAAATCTTCATGGAAGCAGATGGCCATATCTTTCTTTTGCAGAGCCGCCAGTAGGTTTGAACAGCTGAGCTTTCAGTTAACAGCCAAGGACTTAACCACTACACCAGCAGGGCTTCTTTCTAATATATATATATATATATTTTTTTAAATAAAGCGTTGTGGTTGAGTCAGTTTCCACTCATAGTGACCCTATAGGACAGAGTAGAACTGTCCTATAGAGTTTGCAAGGCTGAAATCTTTTTTTTTTTTTTTTTTAAATTTTTATTGTGATTTGGGTGAAGGTGTACAGAGCAAATTCATTTTCCATACAGTAGTTCATATACATTTTGTTTCATGACATTGACTGCAATTCCCTACAGTGTAACAGCTCTCTTCCTACTTCCTCCCTATAGTTACATCTTCCCTGTGTCCTTCCCTTCCATGCACTCCCACCTCCCCGAGCTGTCTCTCTGTGCATACACTGCCCTTCTGTTCTCCCACAATTGATCACTCCAAGGAGTATATCTACCTGATGTAAGTGTTCACCCATATGCCTGTCTGTTGTTTGGCTGGAAGCCACAGGACAACTCCTGGTTCAATTCCAGACTTGAAGGGTAACTAGGGGACATAGTCTCGGGCGTCTCACCAGGCTCTGTCAGACCAGCAAACCTGGTCTTTTTTAAATGATTTTGAGTTTTGTTCCACATTGTTCTCCCACTCTATGAGGATCTGCTGCACCAACCCCCCTTTGAGTGGTTGATAGTGGTAGCCAGGCACCATCTAATTCTTCTGGTCTCACGGTCATATAGGCTGAGGATCGCATGGTCTGCCAGTCCCTTAGACTAATTGTTTCCGTGCATCTTTGGTTTTCTTCATTCTTTTTTGCTGTGGATAAGGAGAGACCCTCATTGCATCTAGATGGCCGCTGTAAGCTTTTAAGACCCCAGCCACTACTCATCCAAGTAGGCTATAGACCAGTGTTTCTGTGTAGTATGTTATGCCAGTTGAGCTTGGTGTCCCCCAGCAGGGCTTCTCGAGAAAGGTAAGTGCATGCAAACTTCCCAGACTCCCAGACTTTCCCTAAGGCAGACCGGAAGCCTGGCTGGCCCTGCTCTTCACTCCCGCCCTCTCCACAGCCCCTCTGGGCTGGCTGGGAGGGCATTCATTGTAACCTGCTCTTGCCTAAGTGCTAATGTGGGTTGGGGCAGTGAGAAGAGAGGCCTCCATTATCATTTGCTGTGGACTGGTCACCCCCTAAATGTGGTCCAGGACCCTGTATCCCTAGGGAAGCTCTGACAGGTCTCATTGATAAGTGCCTCCACTCAGTGAACACCTGCCACGTGCCAAACACTTTTTACCTGCATTTTTCTCCACACTTTATGACAGCCCCCAAAGGTAAGAATTGTTCATTCAGTTTTACAGGTGAGGAAACTGAGGCCCCATGAGGTTAGGTGCTTGCCTGAGGTCACCCAGCCAGTAAGCCTGGGCTTTCGCCTTCCCCGTGTTGTTGTCTGTTGTCAGTTGATTCTGACTCATGGCAACCCCGTGTGTGCAGAACAGAACTGCTCCACAGGGTTTTCTCGGCTGTGACTTTTCAGAAGCAGATACTTGTCTTCAGACAGGTGACTTTGGGTGGGTTCGAACCGCCCCCAACCTTTGGGCTAGTAGTAGAGGACCTGACTGTTTGCATAACCCCTGGGAGCTGCTTCTCCGTAACTGCCTAGATCAACGAGTTCCTAACATTCACAGCAGCCACCATGGAAAAAGACCTTGGCAGACTGCAGAACAGGTGGTCTGGTGATTATTCAAAAAGGGAAAAACCTACCAGTGCAGGAGAGCAGGCTGGGCCTGATTCATTTAACGAGAGAGGAGAATTGGCGGAGCGGAGTTGGCCTCTTAAGTAGGCCAGCACCGCAGCGCTGCAGACTTTCAGGTCCACGGCCAGGCCTTCTGCTGCACGCGGTTTAAACATTAAACTATAGGGTGGCCTTCTTTAAAAGCAGACCATTTTATAAGGCACTTGGTGCCGTCTAGACTTGGGAACATTTATGAAAGGGGCCACATTGGCTGTCAGGCGCAAACACCTGAACCCCTGCTCCAGGCGTTTTGCAGGGGCAGTGAAACCTGGCATCAAGCAGGAGCACAGTGGGTTTTTCTTGGAGGATGTGTGCTCTCAGACATTGGATAATCTCTTCCTGCTGGGTCCTTGGACTCCCTCGGTCTTTTTTGGTGATGTGAAAATTGAGGAGGGTTCCTGCATGATGTTGGGCATCTCTGCACGTCTCTTTGGTAGCTCTTGGCCAGGGGGCTAATCACATGGTTCCTTGTGTCATTTGGGCTTATTGCCCATCTCTCCCACCTGGGAGAATCGAGTTAGGTTCCTCCTGGGCCTCCTCAGTGCTATTCCTGGGACAGGATAGGTGCTCAACAAATTTTTTGAATGAAAGAACAAGCCAGTGGATAGTCAGAATTCATAATGGCTGAAGCAATTATCTTGAGGCAGACTTTTGTTTCTAAAATTATTCATTGGTTGATTGTTGTTGAGAATATCTGGGGCAAAACATACACTAATTCAGATGTTCCTACGTGTATAATTCAGTGTCTTTGATGGCATTCTTCCAGGTGTGCAACCATTCTCCCCTCCTTTTCTGAGTTGTTCCTCCCCCATCAACATACTCTCACTGCCCCCTAAGGTTCCCATCTTATCTTTTGAGTTGCTGTTGTCAATTTGGTTTCAGATAGGTAGCTCTTAAGGAGCTCCGGTGGCACTGTGGTTCAGGCATTTGGCTGCTAACCAAAAGGTCAGCAGTTTGAACCCACTAGCTGCTCTTCAGGAGAAAGATGAGGCAGTCTGCTTCTGTAAAGATTGACAGCCTTGCAAACCCTATGGGGCAGTTGTACTCTGTCCTATAGGGTCACTATGAGTCGGAATTGACTTTATGGGCAATGAATTTTTTCTTTGGTATACACAGTTCTTAAGAGAGCACAGCGCTCAGAGCAGGCATTCTTTATTTATTAGTTAAGTGAAACTATTGATTGCTTTTAAGAAGACTCCAGGGGATATTTTTGGTTTAAGGTTTAAAGGTGATTTCAGGGCAATAATTTTTGGGGTTCACCCACCCTCCATGGCTCGTCCAGCAGGCTTTGGATTCTAAGTAGGAGTATTTTATTCCGCAGGCAACTATAAGCAGGAGATGAGGGGGACTTAGTTCTGGGGAGGAGGCTGCTTTTTGGGTCCATCCCTGTGTCTGGGCTGGGACTCAGGTGCCACATTGATAATGCAGGGCCCCAGCTGTCCTGAGCTTTCCTGGCATCGCAGGTGCAGGTACCATTGAAAGATCGTAGCTCTCTGGACCCTACAAAAAATAGGCTGTAAGCTGGATTTGGCCTGTGGGCCATATATGCAGCAAAGAAAAGAAAGAAGCAAGATAGTTTCAGCTGAGGTGAGTGGTCTGGGGAAGACGGACAGGGAAAGGTTCAGAGAAAGGGAGGTGGTGGTGAAGGTGGCCGTATCAGCCAGGGTGCTCAGGGAAGGAACTTGACTGTTGAGAAGGATGCAGGGATCGGTGATGTGTAAAGCACTTGGCACAGCGCCTGTGTGTTAAACACTTAATGAAGGCCAGCTATTACTACCTTTGTTAGTGTTTTCTAGGTTTACCGTTACTGGCTTTTTGACCTTGGCTGGGTCATCTCACTGCTCTTGAGAGTGGAACTAAATATTTTTCCGCCAGCCTTGGAGGTTGCAAGTCCTCATTGGTCTCCTCCTAACTATCCAGGATCCCACTAGGATATTGTTGTTAGCTGCCCCCAAGTCCATCCTGATTGACAGTGACAACACGTACAATGGAATAAAATGCTGCTCGGTCCCGAGCCATCCCCATGAGCAGTTGTGGATCGGACTGTTGTGATCCATGGGGTTTTCACTGGCTGATTTTCGGAAGCAGTTCACCAGGTCTTTCTTCCTAGTCTTAGTCTGGACGTGCCACGGCAGCCTGTTCAGCATCACAACAGCACAACAGGCCTCCACTGGTGGGTGGTGCTGTGGGAGGTGCACCGGCCAGGAATGTGGGAGGGGAGAAGGTGGGCAGAATGAGCCCTCTTTTGCATCCTTACTGGCAGATTCATTAGAAGGAGTTTTTGTGGAGGGCCAGCTCCCATGGCTGTTGACATTAATAGGCCCTTTCTGTTTCCCCAATGTGGGGTGGGGTTTGCAGAGGGTGGGCACTTTCCTTCCCATCGCAGACTGGAAGCACCCCCTGGCAGATGACCCGTGGGATCGTCAGCCTTTTGCTCCACTGTTAGGGGCGCATGAACAAGTGGCTTATGTTTGACACCCCAGAATACTGCTACCCGCCCCTGGCCCTGGCTGGTATCCCTATGCCATTTGACAATAGGCCCTTCTTGAGGCCTTCTCAGAGCCAAGGAAACCTGTTGCAGAATCAAAGGGGTGGTTTCTACCCTTGGCCCATCTTTATTTTATGGAGGAATGTGGAAATTGGTCCAACAGCCACCCACATCCTTCTTGTCTCCGGCATGTGTGTTCACTGTCTGCTTCCCCCATGAGCAAGCTCCCAGCCTTGCCGGCCCAACTGAGATAAAGTAAAACCTCTCAGTCATATCTTTATGTCTGAT